GCACTACCTGAAGCAAAAGCAGAGGCCCATGCGTCCCTGAACTGGCTGAAGGGACTCGCAAACTCAAACTCTCGCAGCTGATTGGGCGAAATTCCCTTGGCGTACCTTACTACAGGAGAAGCTGATTGGCACCAGCGCGGATCCGCTTCTTGAATGGCGAGGGTAATTAATGACCGTGACCCCGCACTCGGCTTTTCCACCCTCCCAACAACTCTTCTTAAATTCTCCAGCTCGCAATCGGATGCTCCGTGAACCTCGCTGCCGTACGTCGCTGCGGCCAAACCCCCAAAGCAAAACACCTTTTCGCATGCCTTCACAAAGCGGCCCTGGCCTTGGCAATTCTCTTGACCCGAGTCTTAAGATACTTTTTCCTCTGCTGGTGCTTTAGGGCCCGTTTTGGAAGCCTGCGGGGTCGACCGACCGCGTCGTCGATGCCCGACTTGATAGCCGCGGAGACCGAACTTCCACCCGCGCCTCCGAAGAACTTGCGCAACTCCATGCCGAGCTCGGGGGGCGCGGAGATGAGCGCGGCCTTATCTTCCGAGATGGTGCTACGCAGCTCGGCCCTGACAACGTCTGCCAGCCATGCCGCAGACTCCTTGATGTGGCCTAAGACATGACGCTCTGAGCCTGCAGCAGACAAGCCGCAATCGTCAATATAAACAGACAAGTAGAGCTGCTTGGGTAGAGCCAACATGTCCAAAGCAGGGATCACAAATATACGGACACCTGTTGTTGCTATTGAACAGCCTGCTATAACTCCCAGGGTAGCGTAGCGCGGCCCATCAACTAGACTGGAAAGCGAAACAAACCTTGGACCACGATAAGCAGTGACAGCCAGCCTGATAAGACAGCGAGGGAAGCGCAACATGTCAGCCCGAGCTAGGAGTACATTTAAGGGAATACGTTCGTAGAATTTGTATAAATCCCAGAGTGCGCTGACCGCCACTTATCCCTGTCTGGCTCCTAGCTGTGACCTCGCTGCCTGGCGCCCGACGACATCGCTGGCTCCGCAGAAAGCAGAGGCTGCTAACTATGAGCTGGCATTGCCGGCCCCCCAGGAACTACGCGCCGTCCTGCGGGCCCTCCCCCAGATCATATGCACTGCGCTAAATAGCTCTATCGGGCGATGGCCACCCGTGGGCTTCTCAAGCAGAAAGAGAAATCTGGTTTAAATTTGCCTCGGAAGCATGGACGTGGACTCCATAGTGTTATAGAGAATGGAGAGCGCGAGGAGGAGGGGTTCTGAGAGGGAACATATATGTTTACAATGAAACCCATCAGCCCCCACTGCCGAAAGCTTGTCATAAGACTTCGAAGTATCTCTGGGGGTCTCAGGCGATATAAAACCCAACGGCCCCTGGTGCTCTATGGGCGTCCCATCGGGCTCCTCGTGGGTGCCCCCCCAGAGGTTGGAAAACTCCAGGGCCTCAGAGGCGAGTAAACTGCAGGGATCTGCCAAGACCTGACCGCGAGGCGAAGGGGTAGTTGTTGGTTTCAAGTGAACCTGCTCCGTGGTCCAAGCACGCGCTCGTCTGCCTCCAGCATCGACGCCGTCGAGCAGCCAAGCGCGCCACGAACGTTGAGCGGCAACTTTAGCCTGACCTGCATATTGCTCAAAAGACTTAATCAGACCGACCTCCAGATCCTCCAGATCGCCGAAGCACTTCTCCTGAAGGTCCTGAAACCCACATGAGCCCAGGAGGGCCTGGATCTCCTGAAGTTCCCCCCCCCCCCCCCCCCCCCCCCCCCGCAGTCCTGAACCTTGTCCTTGATTTTGTCAGGAGGAGCTGCAATTGCCTGACTGTAGGGCTTGCAGGTCTGGTAATCTGAACCAGCTGCGTGCACGGAACGAAGACTGCCAACAGCCTTGCAGAGCCAGCGGAAGCCTACGAGACCAGGCTGCCTGACCTCGCGCCTGCGCCGATCCGAGCCCAGCACGTTGACCCAGATGAACTTGGGCGGCCCCCCTCGGAGGCCGGGTGCCCGCAGCGGCTCGAACCTGGGCGACGGAAACCCCACCTCCGCAGCATCAGCCCAAACATGATAACGTGCGTCTAAATGCCGTTGCACATCCGACCGTTTAGCACGCTTCTGAACGAGTTCCAGACCGTGGCGGGCGCAGTCCAGCACCACCTCTGCAGATGGGGGCTCACAGACGGGCCCGACGGGAACCTCGACCTGGATCTTGGGGATCTTCGCGAACGACAGGGCGTATAACGAAGCCGCATCGGGATAAAACTCAATGGTGGTAGGGTAATGCGTCTTAATGCCCGAGCCGTGATCGACCGAGATTTTCGAGATAGCCTGGGTGAGACCCGAGGACGCCACGAAGTAGTCATACATGCTAAGCTGACCCCCCAGATCCCATACACGTTCCGGGAACATCAGGAAACGCGATGTTAGAGGACAACTTCGAGGCACACATACTGGACTTGAGCGTATCAGGCAGCATGTTGAAATCGGCGCCTACCAAGAAGGGCAGGTCGGAGGTGTCGATCGCACTGCCCACGTCTGCGAGCAAGTGAAGGTTGCGATCTGACAGCCCTTCATAATCATGAAGATAGAGACTGAGAAGTAGAACGTGGTGGCCTCCTGGTACCTGCAAGCAACCCTGAATGGCCCTACCTCGGACCAACATTGAGCCACGTTCGGGAAAGTACAGACCCAGAGATTGACGAGCCAGGATGGCAACGCCTCCAGAGGCGCCACCCCCTGGGGCCGAGAGAACGGGCGCAAAAAAAAGCCCGCGCCAACCGTGGAAGATGCCCATTCGGAAGCTTCCCTGGGAGATTCACTATCCCGTAGCCTGTGTTCTTGTACTAGGACCACAGTCGACGAAGTAGACCCAAACCAGGACTTGATGGACGCCCAGGCTGTAGAATTGACAGCATCGACTGACAGTACAAAATTTGGGGAGGCGGGCTTTGTTGGGGCGGCTAAAAACTTGTTGCCAAAACTTGGCCCTGGGGGCCTGAGAGAGACAAACGACTTTCCCCCCTGCGCGCTCACTACTGCTGAGATTCGCTCGCAGGGGGGGTGACCCTTTGCTAATCCAAACAGCGGGCACGCTCACGCACATCGACCTTGCTCGATGCCTTGGCGGGCTGCTGTTCTTCCTTGCTTGGGTCCTTCGCGGCGGAGGCTGAGACGCCTTCAGGGCTGGGTTGGCCTCCAGCCGCCCCACCCTCGGCGGCAGGCGGCGCGGGCTCAGGCGGGCCTCCTCCAAGGGGTACTACAGCTTCACCAGCAGGCCCTCCGACCTTCCGCTTCTTCTGGGGCCTCTCGAGGTGGGCCGTGTGAGCGGCCTTGATAGAGTCGATGTTCTTGATGCACTCCCCGAACAGGGCGGTGACCATCCGCTGGAGGCCTGTCTCCAGTTCGGCTGCCCGCTTGTCAATGGTCTCGCGGTCCTGGTCGGAGATCTCGTAATCGTCCAAGTCTGCGAGGAGGCCCGGGACGTCAAACTTGAGAGCGCCGCCGTCCACACTATCACGCAACTGAAGCACAGGAGTCGCGTCCCTCGCAGGCGGGGCCTTGTGCGTCTCGGCGTGAAGCTGGGCGACGAGTTTGTTGTGCAAGGTATCTTGCGCGGCGAGTTCAGCACGTAGCTGGTGACATTCTTCTTTCTTTTCAATGATGCCTTTCTCCCATTTCCAGCACGTCCAGCTCGCGATTGAACTTATTCTCCAAGGTTTGTACCTGGCGATAAGCGTGGTTGATATGCTGCTGTAGTGGTTGGGCGGGAACCATGGCCTGGTTGGCTGCATCCACACGGTCCTGGTACTGCTTAGTCGCCAAGGAAACCATCAGCTCCAGCTCGGAAGGCAAACCGCCAGCACCACCATGACCCAGAGGACCAGGAAGCAGAGACTGGCGGACGGGAACATTGCCATCAGCACGAGGAGGAGGTTCAGCCTGACCACGGATCGTGCCGCAGTGCTTACAGACTTGAAATGCTGCTTGTTCTTGGCGCAGCGGCACTTGGGGTTGAGGCACACCCAGTTGCCTGCGGGAGGGGGTTTGCCGCGACCTCCTCCTGCGGGCGTCCATGGCCTCCCTCCTCCAGCGGCCGCCGCAGCCGCACGGGGGACACGCCAAGGGGCCGTGCCAGCCATTGCTTCGAGCTGAGAATCGTTCAAGCCGAGAGGCGAACCAACTTGGCCCGCTGACACCCAGCTGTTCTGAAGTGAAAGTGTCAGCAAGCACAGGAGAACCTGGAAAGGTCCTGTGCCAGAACAGCTAAGCGCACTCTCCAAATCTGGGTCCTCGCTGATGGCTGCCGCTATGCCCAATAGGGTCTTCGTCATCCTCACCCTCTTCCTCCACATCCTATTCGTCTTCCGCTCTGCTTCTCCTAATCCTCTTCGTCCTCATTGTCACTGGGTCGCATGATGACCACATATTTTGATCCACGCGAACCGCGACCATCCGCGCGCTCTCGCGCGCGGCCACCGTGTAGACGGGCACCTTCGCGCCCACCGCCTCCTCCTCCTCTTCCTCCTCCTCCTCCTCCTCCTCCTCCTCCTCCCGCACCCCCTCTCCCACCTCGCCCCACCCACGATCATGCTTGAGCACAGTGTCGTGCTTCTGCCACAGTTCGACGACGGCGTCCACGATCCCATCAGGCCCCATCTCCCCCCCCCTTGGGCCCCTCCCCCCTCTGGACCCCCCCCCTTGGGTGGAGGATGAAGTCGAGGGTTTTGTTTCGTCACGGCCACGAATCGACGTCGAGCAGAGAGAACTCATGCCGCCTGTCCTGAAGAAGATCCGGGCAGACGGCGGCCACAGAGTTTGAGCCAGCGCTTCTACGCGATGAGGTGGGGGGAGGACAAGTGGAGGGGGACGAGGAGGAGGCACGAAGAGGACAAGGATAAGGAGAACCCAGGAGGAACGATGAGGACAAAAACAACGACGACAGCCTTTGACGATGACGACGACAGACGACGCTCAACGAATGCACCGCGCACCCTCGCGGCAGCGGCAGACACGTCCGGACGTCACCCCTTGCAGGGCGTCGGGGACCCCGTCGCGGTTGTGGTCGAAACCGGTCACCCGCACCGTGGTCTGCCGCCCCGCGCCGCCCTGCCGGTGATGGGGGGCTGCCGGCCAGAGAGGCCAGTTTTCTACACCACGGGTATACATGTTCGCGCGTGCATAAATTCTCAGCGTGGGCGTCGTGCGGAGGGGCGGGAGTGGGGAACACGAGGGTTCGGGGCCCTTGCGGGCCCCGGATTTGGGCAAAGTTGGCGCGCTCCCCCCGAAACGCCGACCACGGCAATCCGATCGACCGAAATTTTGGCCAGCGCGCCTATAACGTGCAGTGTGCGAGATACGGATGAGGAAGCTTGGGGGGACAAGCGGGATCCATGTGGAGGACGCGCGAGCCCGCCAGGTGGGCGTCCACACAGATCCACAGACGCAGCAGCAGCAGCAGCAATACCGACCGCACTTGCGGCAGCTCTCATGTCTGACCATGCTCAAGGGTCCCCGTTCCAAACGAACAGGGCAGCCACCAGGGGATGAGCAGTAGGACAAGAAAGAACACAGGGGAGGAAGAGGATATATGGAAGATTAACACATGGAGCCGGGCTTGCCCTCCTGAGCAGTTTTGGACGGACGGTTCCAAGGCTCGTTCCCCTCAGGACCCACCTCCTTCATGGCGAATCGAAACATACCGATCCTCCCTCGCACGATTACGTGCGCAACCATTGGTGTTAGTTGGTTTATGGCTCTTGCCCAGGTTCTGAGTAGCCGGAACGCGCGAGGGCCGTTTGTGGCAACCACGCTGCCCGCTCCCCCTTGTGACGTCGTCGTCGTCGTCGTCATCTTCGCCACCCTTGTGAATATCGGCGATCGAACCAACAATTCGCCGGCCCAGCGGGCCAGAGGCGTGCTAAGATCCCTGGTGACAAATAAGCAATCGGCGATATTCGCCACCCAACCGTCGCGCTTTGCGGCGCAGTGTTGAACCGCACGCCGGCCCACTCAGATCACAGCGACGATGAAGGCGACGCTGCCTGACCACCATGGGCGCCATGCGCGACTGCAGCCTCAACCAGGGCCGCGCGACCATAAGGTACGCCTACGCCGCAGAATGGCCGCGAGTATCCATGCGCAGCCACGGCCTCAGGAGGCGCGCGCCCACGGTCTGACGCAGACAACGGCCAAGACCCCGGATGGCTGCACGGACTAGGGCCCGCCAGCACCTGCCTGGCGGCCGCGCCCTCGATGGAACACGACGCGCCGCCTTGAAGCAGCGCGACTCACCACGTGACCGACGACAGCCCCTTCGGATTGAAACCAGGCCTGCCCGCGCTGCGCCGGTGCAAATTGTGCCGAATCATGACCAAGGCAAGGCCGCCGCCCCCGACCCGGACCGTTGAAGAAAGGGGGTGGAGGACCAAGCAAGCTACGGACATCACGTCATGAAGCCAACTTGCAGAACATGGGTCAGCTAGGTCACGCCCTCTTCACCACTCGGGGACAAACACGCCGAAGCTCCGTGATCCTCCGGGGACCCCTCCCCAGAGACCTCGCGCGGCACGTGGGCGTTTTTCGCCACCCAACCGTAGTGCTTTGCGTCGCAACGCTGAACCGCGCGCCGGCCCATGCAGATCACAGCGACGATGAAGGCGACGCCGCGTGACCACCGCGGGCGCCCTGCGTGACCGCAGCCTCAACCAGGGCCGTGCGACCATGAGGTACGCCGCAGAATGGCCGCAAGTATCCATCAGCCACGGCCTCAGGAGGCGCGCGCCCACGGTCTGACGCAGACAACGGCCAAGACCCCGGATGGCTGCACGGACCAGGGCCCGCCAGCACCTGCCTGGCGGCCGCGCCCTCGATGGAACACGACACACCCCCAGCGTCCGTTGTAGCTTGACCTCGACTGCGAAACATCCCTGGCAGCCTGCAGCGCGGTCTTTACGATGCGGGCAGGCAACCGACAGCGTTGCGAAGCCGTTGTTGCCCCCAGCCTGGCAGCTGTAGTTGAACAACATATGCCTGATAGATCTCGGCAATTCTGAGATCCCGCCATCTGCCCAATTCCTGGGTCAACGCGCAAAGGCCGTTATTGATGAGATGTCACGTCGCTCCGCCAGGGCGGATCAATGCGGGGTGAGATTTACCGAAGGAAGGCCCACGGCCGAAACGACGCAACGCCATTTGCTCGGCGGCCACCTGGACTTGCCAACGATGGATGCTCCAAATCTTCGATGCAAATACGTTCTGGCCCCACTCTCCGTCTCGCGCCCTTGCCGCCAAGAAATTGCACGACTGGAAGGCGAGATCTTCCGGCAAGCTCCACCTGCCGCCGCGCGCGCGTGAAGAGCTCTCCAGACCTGGGAGGCCCCGCGAACCCAAGAAGCGACTGAATACCGAAAGACCTTCTTTCCCGAGCCAGGGCGATCGCAGCGAAGCCGATCACCGCATCAGCGGACAAAGGGGGGGGGTACGTGTGCTCCGCCCACTGCGCGTCCACAGCGTGAAATAATATGACGCCGTGCATATTTTCCGACGACGCCACGGGCGGAGTCACTTGATGCCGCAAAGAACATCGCTAGTCCACCCAAGAAGGTAGCCATCTTGAAACGCGTGGCTGGTGCACTCGGCTGCCCCGTCGCCCAGATCGCCCAACGAAACAGAATGCGCGTGCCCCGCCACATCCAAATTATCAAATAATCTATGAACCGCGTGACACTAGCCAACCAACGCGTGTGCAACTTTGCAAACTTCAAGTGCTGAGGTCCCGGGCCCCTGATAGCGCGCGTGCGCCCTGGGCGCTTTTGGGGCAAACGGCGTTTGCCCATCTCTCCGCGCCGAGCGCAGCCGACTGGCTGCGCCCGCGTAATTCCATGAACAGATCGCCCACCGGGCGAGCGCGCGCACGTCTGCCGCCAGAGCCGCGGCAACACGCCTCCTCGCGGGCCGGTTCAAGCATCGCACGCTGCCGCGCTGCTGTCACACATTGTGGCGAAAACTACTATGGCGCAGCAATGCATTCGCTTCGCGCGCCCCCGCATGCGTCAGACATGCAATGAGTTCGGACACGCTGGTCCGTTGGGGCTCCCTTCATTTCTACGCCTTCCAACTGACCCAGCGCCATGCCATGGCAAGGCGCGGCCACTCCTGGCGTGATCCATCCAACAAAAATTTGGACGATTGGCGAACGTCAGACCCTTAATAATTGGCATGCTCCAGCAAAACGCAATTATGGCCCATCTCGCGCCCAACCTCCATCTCGGGCAAGAGTTGCGTGACCTCCAGGGCCGCGCGGTGGGGGAGCTCGGGTTTGCCCAACCTCTCCGCGCTCTGCTGGAGGGACCTGATAAACGAATGCTCTCTCAGAGCTGGAACGGCAGGCAACCTCGCAGCATCCGTTGCCCTCCAGACGTCCAGCGCAAATTGGGCGCAACGCTGGAAAAACGAGAAAGGCAACCCATGCGGCCCATGCGCGTCCCAAGCGCTGCGGGGGCCACCGTCGCCCCGAAGGCCCCCCGAGTCCACGGCGACCCCTCCGTGCCCAGGACAAGTTGGGCAATGAAATGCTCGGTGCGAAGTTTCGAAATTACGCGCGAAGTCGACGCCTTCCTGCCCTTGCCCTCGACGGCAGCACGCCCAGGTAATCGCGAAGGAAACGCCAGGCTGACTCAAAGTTCGGCCACTTGGGAAAGGCGCCAAACAACGCTATCCCAATGGGCGTCCACAACTGCAGCGCCCCCCATTTTGCACCTGTACTCCAGCCTCGCCAACGAATGGTTCAACCTCTCTTCCCAACGCTTCAGATTGAACTTATCGTGGTCCCGCAACCAGGGGCGACCTTGCAAAAACTGCCCTGCCTGTCTGCCCGCGTGAACTTTCCCCGGCCAGCGACCGTAGAAAAGTCGCCCTCCGGGCGCCGCGCACAACCGCGCGGTTCCACAGCCGGTGCGCTGCGCGACGCGGCCCACGCCAACCTCGCACTCGCATCGCAAAAGCCTTCGGCAAAGCAGAGGCCATTTGGAGACAACGACTGCGATCCGACGCAGCCGAGAGAATGAACGTCCAAGCACTTCAGGCAGCAGCACGTCGATCCACATCCTGCCGGGCAAGAAGCCCAATAATCGAAGAAATGCACGCCGCCTCCGCACAGCGCGCGAACCTCCGCCAGCAGGGCCACGACAAGCTACGAAGGTGTCCCCGTGAGATGCGCGCGCCAGTCCTGATCCTGCTCCGAGACCTCCTTGGACAGGGCAGTCGCGAACGCCTTGGCTTCGGCGGCGCCTCCTTCATCCGACGCATCTGTGCAGCTGCAGGTGGTCCGGACTGAAGCTCGCTGGTGCGTAAAAGGAGAAACAGCAAATCAGTGGCAAGGAGTACTTCATCCAGAACCTCAGAGGGAGGGGCGCGTCGATCGCGAAGGCCGTTAGAGCTGCACACGTAGTGGAGCACCTCCTGCAGCGCGGAACAAAACATTCTCCTGAACTCAGCTGCGAAACGCTACAGGCCACCCCAATCTTGGCCTGACACCATTCTTCCGTTCTGATCAATGCGACGGTGTTCCAAACCACCTTGGGTCCAATAACTCGACTGTACACTGGCCACCCCTTAGCTCCATCGACCACACCTCCATCGGCCACCACGTGAGCATTGCATTGAGAGCACACGTTCACAAAACCTTGCATGGCTTCGTTCCGCGCCGAACGGCGAGACGCATCTTGCGGTGAAATGCATGGGTCGGGGTCCAGGCGCCCACAGAAATGTCCTGCTTCGGAAAGGGAGACGTCTCCATGGTCAACCCTTCAACTTAGCGAAGTAATCGAAGCCGTCCAAACAGACCACGAACACGTCGCGGTCCGAGACTGGGGCCCGCTTGTTGATCTCGGTGCTGATGTCCACGCCCACAATGTTAAACACGAGGCGCCTGGCCATACCCTGTCGCAGGCCCACCGCAATCATGGATCCCATCGTGGCGGCCCGCATACAGACGCAGGACATGTCATGGGCAGACTCTCCCAAGATGGAGACTTGCTTTCCAGACTAAAATACCCATTCCACGCAGGAGGTATGGCGACTCTGTTGAAACAGCTTTGCAGATCGTT